CTTCAAGCCCTGGCAGCAGAGCCCGGGCCAGGACTCACGGTTGCGTGAGGCTTTCCAGGTAAGCTGTGCCCACCTGCCTAGGGACAGGGACCTCCGCAGCCTGGCCCAGTGTGTGAACCAGGGTGCGCTGTGCTCGGTTGCAGATGGTGCTTGTGATCACCTACTATGAGCCCCAAAACCCTGAGTACCAGCATTTCCAAACCCAGCTCATCCTGCGAGCTAAGCAGAAGTTTGGTGTGCAGCTCAACTACTCCCTGGTGAGTCAGTCCCCCTGCATGATGGGGTGGTGGGGACCCTCTGCGTGGGTCTGAGGCACCTCAGCAGGATGCAAAGGGTGGGACAAAGCCACAGGCAGTGCTAGAGAGGCTATCCCTGATGGTAACTGCCATGGGCACTGCTATCCCTGCAGGGTGTTTGTTGGCCCCAGAGCCATTATGGGGCCACGGGTGGGTGCATTCCCGGTGTGCAGGGCGCACGGCCAGGGTGCTCCTGTGTGCGTGGCTGTGGGTGTGCTCAGGTTCCCACCGGCAGATGAACCTGGTGGCGGGGTGTTTCTATGACGGGATGCTGCTGTATGCCATGGTGCTGAACGAGACCCTGCGCGAGGGCGGCTCCAAGAAAAATGCCACCCACATCATCGAGAAGATGCGGGACCGCAAGTTCCAGGGTAACGCTGGGATGGGGGCAGCTGGTCTACAGGTGTTGTGGGGGTGGTAGAACCCAGTCCCTGTCCCACCTGGGTCTCGCTTCTCCCACAGGGGTGACGGGGCTGGTGAGCATGGACAGCAACAATGACCGGGACACTGACTTCAACCTGTGGGCCATGGGTGACCCCAAGACTGAACAGTATGAGGTGGGGGCCAGCACCAAGTTTCCCCCAGCTGGGGCTGAGGGCTGGGATGCTGGCATCTGTGGAGCCCTCATCTCTCTCCGCCTTAGGTGGTGGGACACTACTCAGGTGTGGAAAAGCAGATCCACTGGCTGGGACGACCCATCCCCTGGGTGAAGGGGGCTCCTCCCTTGGACAACCCTCCCTGTGTCTTTGATGTGGATGACCCCTCCTGCGATAAGAGTGGGTATCCTGAGTCCCCACATCTCTTGTACCCCAGCACCCTTCCTCAGGGGTGC